TTTGCTTAATGCTGTGGTTCTTAACCTGTGGTCCATGGACCACTGGTAGTCCCTGAAAGCACCTGAAGTGGTTCGCGAAGTTATCCCAAAATTATTAAATAAATGACGACGAGTTGATGACAATGCGTGGTATGGTGTGTGGTCAGGAAATATGAAACTGGAAGGCACTAGCAATAAATTTGCATTTGAAGATAAAATCAGTGTGTTTATCGCTAAAATCGACCTATGGATCAGCAAAGTTGAAAGAGAGAATTTTTCTGCGTTTGATACATTGAACCCACTTATTGATTAACAGTGTGCCGAGATTAAAGGACAAATACAAAAGAACATTACATTCCATTTGCAAAGCTTGAAAAATGAATTTAATCACTATTTCCTGACTGCAAGGACAAAGGTATTCGGAAACTGATTTGCAATCCTTTCATAATCAACATTTCCGAGGTGCCGGATGAAATACAAGAAGAGTTAATTGAAATGCAACATGATAGTAACTGCAAGGATACATTCGAGACAGGAATTAACCTTAAAGATTTTTGGAGCCAAAAAGCTATTGCTTTCCCTAAAATTCGAGAAATTGCTTTACAGTACCTAACTTTATTTTCAACCACATATTTATGTGAGCAAGGATTCTCAGTGCTTTTGATAATTAAAAATAAACATCGAAATCGGTTGGATGCCAGTGCCGACATGCGTTTGCTTTGAGTAGCACTGAACCAAGAATTCAGCAGTTGGTAAACAGTATGCAGTCACAAAAATCGCACTAAAATAATATAATTAATGTAACACTTTCGCAAATAATATAATACTCTTGGTTCCAAATAATTTTCTACGTGTTTAATTTATAGAACAACCTTATAAGAACCTAAATTACTGCCAAACAGCTGATGGTCCATGGCAAGACAAAAATTTTGATAAATGGTCCCTCATCACTAAAAGGTTAAGAACCACTGGCTTAATGGATGCAGGTACTTAGGAAAATACAAAAAAGATTGACATGTTGAAAGCAATACACTACATTGTGGCAACCTGCAAGTAACTCCCCAACAGACAAACAAAAATTGTTTTTAAAAATTTGTCACATTCAGGAAAAATCTTAAATAAGTTAGTGGTGTCGCATTGACAAATGGTAATGATGGTGATGATTTCCATTAAAAGAAAAAAATTCAGTGACATAAACAAAGATAAATTTATGCTCTGTGAACAATTATTTGGTGACCAGTGGTGTAGAAACAGTCAAAGAGCTGTGCAAGATCTGGCATCTGGGAATGTGGCAGAGGAAGAATGAGGAGGAGGCAGGGAAAGGATGATGATGAACCTCAACTTGTGCCAAACTTTGCTGAGGTGCATGAAGCATCGATGAAAACCCATAGCACAAATGACAGTGATTACGAGAACATTTTAGGCCAAGGGAACAACTTTTATAACTGTGTATGCCAAAATCATCAAATATATAATGCAAAATTTCTCATGTGCCAATAGAAAGTTTTGGGAGCATATTATTGATCTAGTGGCTGAATGATGCTACAGGAAAACTAGATTTAGCAGATTTTCTGGTAAATTGGCAATCCTGCTTGAAAGTCATTATATCACAAAGCTAGATGTCTTAGAAATAAGATGTTTGTTTCATTTTCTTATTATTATTAAAACAGTTGATAGTGTTTGTTTTGTTATTGCAGTTTTATTTAGTATTGCTCTACTCAATAAAACTGTATGTTACTAAGTTAGAATAACTCAGTGAAGTTGTTGGATATTTATTTTTAAGGTAATTCCTGGGTTATGTGCTTGCCACATTTGGCACATATCAAGAGTTGCCCACCTGTTCTAAACCTTGAAAAATCATATTTTGAATTAAGGCATAAATCTTGCAGAAAACAAATGTCAAAGATTTTCTCAGCAAGAATTAATGTTTTAAATATATTGTAATTTTATATGATATATTTAAAAGGATAATAATCATTAGATTTTTAATGTCTATAATTTTTAATGTTTTCTGGAACTATTGTTTTTGCATACCATACCCCCAAAAAAATGATGTATCAAGATTCTACTGTATTTCATTTCACTTTCTCTTTGTTTTATTTTACACACTTTGTATTTATTTCTCAATGAACTGCTAATGGAAATGAAATGAAGTAAATAGAGAAAAATAATATTTGAGATTATATCTTCTAAATTGCATGATGGTGTCATTTTTTCAACCATCTTTTGGGAGGTGTGGGTTATACAAAGGTTTTATTTCTGTTCTAGAATTTTTTGCAAGATATATATACTATACATTATCCACAGAAAATTATAGTAATTTGTTTAACATTTTAAAACTATTTAGTGCCTTTGAGATTTAAAGGATAGCTTTTTAAAGTTTTAAACAGTAACTTCTAATGGTTGTACTAAGTGGCTTATAAATGTTGAATAAATTAAATATTTTTAACTTCTGAAAGAAAGCTGTGAAATGTTCTTTAGTGATATAATTATGAAAATGAAACAATTTTTAAATTAGAAAAAAAATCTGATTATAGTGAAATTAAAGTTATATTTCAGTGATTTATTGTGAATAAAAATATGAATTTCTAACTGAAAATGATTAAAATAACATGATAAAAAGACAAAAATTAAAATTATCATTTCAATTTGACCAATTACTTGTAATTAATTTCAATTTTTTTTTGTTGACAGTATTGTAAAGTATGAAATTTATATATTACTAGCTATACTCGGCCATACATTGCTGTGGCTCAAATGTATCTATTATAAATGTATAAAACTCCCTGTGGGGGGAATTTCGAAAAATCCCTTCTTAGTGTACATTCTTTTGACGCTATTGACCCTATTAAACGCAATCAAAAATGCAAAAAACCACATGTAAAATAGAATAATAGAAGACCAATTCTTCAAGGTAAGACTTAATTTTGTCCCTCTCCCCCACAAGGGGAGAATTTTGACATCTATATAATATAAAAACTTGCATGTATTCAACTGCACATTATGTCAAAATTTCAAAGCAATCAGTTAAGAACTTTCAGAGATTTAAGATTTTGAACAAACGAACATTTACATTATTATTTATATAGATTTCTTTTGCTAAAAAAGAAAATAGCTATATTTCAAATTTAAAAAGTAAAATAATGTTTTAGTTTAGAAAATAAGATCAGAAAAAAGTTATCAACAAATTTGGAATATACCCCTATCTCTCTTTTTGCACAGTGGATATGTTCCAAAGAACACCACATAAAACAAAAATCTTGTAGAAAAGTACATACATAAAAAAATGGCACACAAACTGGAAATATATACTAAAACAAACCAATTCACACCTAAATGCTAATTCCAGCAAATGAACAACAAAAAAAATTTTAATATTTAAACATTTTCGGCGTCTTTCAGAAGCCCTCATCAGGTAAAATTGCAGAGAATATAAAAAACAGTTCTATCTTTTTAACAGTTTTTGAACATAGCTGTGTTCTAATTTTTAACGTTTAAATGATGTTGAATACAAAGATCATTACGTATCTGTTTATATGTATAAATATAAACTGTTAAAAAGATAGAACTGTTTTTTCTATTCTCTGCAATTTTTCCTGATGAGGGCTTCTGAAAGACAGCTGAAAACATTTGAACATTAAAATATTTTTTGTTGTTCGTTTACTGGAATTAGCATTTAGGTGTGAATTGGTTTGTTTTAGAAAAATACATACATGCATTATGTAGAAAAATGCTTGATAGGATCCAGAACTTCAATGGAATGAAAAAATAAGCAATTTACAAAAGAAACATGAGCTTTTTTTATTTTATCATCATTTATCATTAACATTATTTGTACATAAATATAGTATACACAAGGTAGCATAAGAAACATAAAATCAACATAAAGTATTCTCTCTGATGTATAGTACATACAGTACTGGGCTGTGCTTAAAAAAGATAAATGAACTCTTGATTTCAACAAAAAGAGTAACTTTTTTTTTAGCAATAACACAATTGTAACAAATAATTAAATTTAATAATTTTCAAATAAACTTTTTATTTACGTGAAAAAATCTATTTCATAAAAAGATAATTAGTTTTCTTTTGTCATCCATGTTGTTTCAAAATCTCGTAAAAATAGACTGCATGAAAAGAGGGCTAGGTGTGCGATATTCACTGGGTTGATTCAATGAGATGGTACACAAAAAGATGCTGAATTTTACAGCTGTTTTTCAGTTTCTTGGTCTTTGACCAATTTGAACATATTCTAATAGTTTATCTTAATAAAATTGTTGAGTGGTTTATATACATATAATCTTATACCATTTTCATTACAAAGTTGGAATATTTTGAACTGAAATATATGGATAGAAGTTTAATAAGCATTATGATTTGATAACTTTATTTGTATGTTTGTGTGTGTATGATTGTCTATTTGTCTTACCAATTTAAAACAAACAACTAGAGTTTCAGTAGTACTATCATAAACCTTTAATTTTGCTAAACCTGATGATGACTGATGAAGAATGTTTGTTGTTAGTTAATTTGATGGAAAAATTAAAGGTTAGTGGTATTAGCAATTTAAAACACTATGTTTATGATTATGAAGAAAGAAAAGAAAATATTGGCTTAATAACAGAAAACAAGGATGACACTGAAATTCTTCTATCCTGTAGTATTAGATAATATAAAATAGTCCAATAGTAAAATATACTTCATTAATAAGTTTTTATTTATATCATTATATTCAGGTCTACAAAGGTAGTGAATTTAGTGTATTTGAGTATTTTTACTATTAAAAAGTGTATCATATTTTGTTTTTTACCAGTTGAAGTGTGAAAATACACAAAATTCAATTTCTGTGTTTTACTAAATATAAAAATACTTGGTTATATTCATAATTTATTTTATGTTTAAAAAAGCCTTATAAATTTGTATTTTGTAATGCATATTAAATCACTTATTTATCAAGTAATTATTTTCTTGAATAAATTATTTCTATTAACATAATTTTATAAATTTTCTTCTAAATGATATAGGATGAACTTACGGCAGTTAATGTTAAACAGGGATTCACTAGCACACCACATATTGCAGATGNTACAGAAATTACCTTCGAATTTTTCGCATGTATCGAAATTTTAAGGCTTCCTGAGTCAAAAAATGTAAAAATCTGGAGGGAGTCACTTTCCTTCTGTTATATATAACAGCCGGGATAATAAAGATGCGATAATCATATAAATATATAAAATAATATATGTATACAGCAGAAATACACTTATTGTAATCACTTTTGGACTCACCTGCTCTACACTAATAACAATAACTGAATGATAATCATAAGTGGGAAAAAATGATTGAAGACTGCTTTAATATAAATTCTGGTTTTATTGACTCTGAAATTTAAAGAACATATTAAACAATTGAAAATGTACTGTATAATGTGAAGGTTTATTACTGTATTTCCCTGAAAATAAGACTTAACCAGAAAATAAGCGCTAGCATAATTTTTCAGGATGCTCGTAATTCAATCCCTACCTCCAAAATAAGCTCCAGTTAAGATCATCAGCCAGATGGCATATTTAATACATTGTAACCCACAACAAACATATTGAATTATAAAATAATAATAATATTGATAAATAATTAAATATAAATAAATATTATTATTGACATGAAATACTTAATTATAATTTATATTATCATTTATTTAAAGTATTTGTAAATACCCAAGTGAGTGTCATTAGACAAGACATCCCCTGAAAATAAGACTTAGTGTATCTTTTCAAGCAAAAATTAATGTAAGACCTGGTCTTGTTTTTGGGAAACGTGATAATTACAGTTATTATTATTGTTTATTAATGGTAATTTGTCCAGTGTTATTTTCTTGCCAGTATTTGTAGTACTGTATTGTATTTAACAACAGCTAATCTGTGATTGAAGAATTTCCAACAATTGAACTACTGTACTGTATGCAAATGACTATTAGCATGATTAACATTTAATGTTAATGCACTGGATTAAGACTGATTAGAATTATAAAATATCACCCATATGCTGAGTCTAGTAGTGTGATAAGAGAACTTTATGTCTATTTACTTGATGATGATAACTATAACTATAACTCTGATTACAATAAGTGATGTTTTATAAGTGTATTTTAAGTTATGTTTTGAGGCATTTTAGTTTTGATAACATTGAATGACTGATAACAATATCTGTGATTTACAATAAGCCCAGTTTATTGTACTGTGCATATATTATAAGAAAATTATTATTGAAAATATAATAAATTGTCCTATAATGCGAAGTTTTAGTTTTTTAAGTGAAATAATCATGATATTTTTTATCTTTTAATATTTAAGCAGAGTTATAAAATTAGAATATAATAAGTTATTTTTAATTAATTTTGGTATATTGTTTTTCAGTATGGATCAGCTCGTAATGCAAATATTACAGCTGCAAAAGTAAGACTTTAATCATTTTTGGAATTAATAAACATTTATAAATTTAGTGATTAGTAGTAATGTATAATTTTTTTTTTAGTTTGGAGCATTTTTCAGTGCCATTCTTACTAAGAAACAGGAACTCAATACATTCCAAGATTCAGGACGTAAAAGACAACAAATTAATCCTAAAGATAATTTTTGGCCAGTGAGTATTCAGTTAACTTATTTGGATGTTTTTGGAAGAATATAGACTTTGCTTTTATTAATCTAAGGTTTACATTTATTTAATATTATTTGTTTATTCAAGATAGGTTGATTTAATTATTGAGTTGTTCAGAAAGTAATTTCGTTTTTTTACCACTAAACGGATTAGTCATATTTTTCCGCCATTTTCATTCTAAACCATATTATCATTATATATTTTGACAGCTAGCATTTTAAGGCTTATTTTGTAAAAAATTTTGTTTGATTTTGTGCAATTGTTTATTTTTTGTGTCCCATCAAATATGGAAGATTGAAAGTAGCATTTTCGGCATATTTTGCTCTTTTATTACCGAAAAGGTAAGAATTCTGTTCAAGCAAGAAAAAAATTGTGTGATGTGTACGGAGAAGATGTATTGACAGAACGACAGTGCCAAAACTGGTTTACAAAATTTTGTTCAATATTGAAAATGCATCACGTTCTGGATGGCCAGTTGAAGCCAATGAAAATAAAATAAAGGTATTGATTGAAGCAAACTGCCGAATAACAACACGTGAAATCACTAAGAGATTAAATTTGTCAAATTGAACTGTTTATGATTACTTGAAACAAATTGGTTTTGTTTCAAAGCTTGATATATGGGTTCCACATGTTCTTAAAGAGAGATGCTCTCTTTGGTGGGATTTTAAGGAAATTTTTTTTTTGGAGCTTTTACCAGACAATTTAACAATTGATTCGAAAGTGTACTGCCATCGAGTAAACAAATTGAGTAATATCATCAAACAGAAAAGGCGGCCAGAATTGATCAACAAAAACAAGTGCAGTGTTTTACCACGATAATGTCAAATTTCACACAAGTTTGATAACTCATCAGAAACTGTTATAACTTAAATGGGACGTGCTATCACACCAACCATATTCGCCAAATCACGCACACTCAGATTATTACTTGTTCTGTCTATACAAATTTTTTTTAACTGTAAGATATTTACTTGAAATGACAATGTCAAAAATCACTTGGATCAGTTTTTTGTAAGCAGTGATCAAAACTTTTATGAATGTGAAATCATGCTACTACCAGAAACGATGACAACAGGTATTTGACCAAAATGGTCGCTATATAATTCAACAAAATATTTATTTATTATAAAAATATTGTGTTTTTTTCCACGGAAAAAAATGAAATTACTTTTCGAACAACCCAATGGTTTAATTACTATATTTTTGTTGAAATTAATCAATTTGAATTTGATTTTGCTGCCTTTTCTTTAAAGTTTTAGTAATAGAAGGTAATATAAGTCAAAAGGTTATGTTTTTAAAAAAGGTGAAAAGTTAAAAAAAAAAACCTTTAAAAAACTTCATTCAAAAAAAGCAACCATGAGAAATTATCCTTCTCAGTCTTTACTGATTTTCAAGGAGACTTAATTAAAACTACAGTCTTCAACTTTCTTCTAACAAGGAACAAGCTTTATTTAATATTACCTCCAAATGCATTTTGCCATAGCTGTAGCAGTGCTCTTTAGTGGATAAAACATCACAAGCAATATCTGTATCACAAACATCACAACTTCGATAACAAACTATCTTGTGTGAAGATGTATTTTTACCTCTAACTACATTATTTCAGCATGCATCTACACTCATGCCAGTATTTAAATTAATAACATTATTCTGCATAACAATTGCATAGTGTTCTTTAATGAAAGTTGTAGTCTATTATTTTTAATTAAGTCTCCTTGAAAATCAGTAAAGACTCAGAAGGATAATTTCTCGTGGTTGCTTTTTTGAATGAACTTTTTTAAAGTTTTTTTTTTAACTTCTTACCTTTTTTTAAAATATAACGTTTTAACTTATAAAATATAACAATTCCATTGTTAATGTTTTTTATAAATATTTTTATATAAGAAGACAATATGCCTGCTTATATCTTTGCTGTAGCATTTTTTTTTTATATTTCAAATTTCTATTAAGTTTCACCGTATTTAAACTGACTATTTCACTACTTTCTCAATGTATAATGTTTGTTCCTGTAGTTCTGTTTTATTTGCAGTAATATTTCTTAACAATTCTAACATACCACTCCTCAAAAGCACTAAATCAACTATTTTAGATTATTGAGGAGTGCCTATATTATTTTTAAGATGATGATGCCTATATTATAGTATTTTAAGAAATTAAAATACTATAATATGAAAAAGTCATTAAAAATTCTTAATGTAAAATTTTGTTGCTTATTAGTTGAATCAATAACAATAAATTGTGAAAGTTTGAATTACCAGGATTTTGGGAAAAAATAGATTGAAAATAGATTGGTTTCATTTTTTCTGATATTTTTATTGGGATTAGTCTTTATTATGAATGAAATCAGCTGCTCATTTTGGTCAGTTCAAATACTGTCGACCCCTCTATAAGATATAGATATGTTCCAATTTATTAGGAATCCGATTTCTTACAAGTCGTTCCAATCACAGCCCGATACGTGTCAAGTTTACGAACTACGGCTGATTGAAAGGTTTTCTTCCATAAAATTAATCGATTCTACACTAATCCAACTCAACATTTCCAAAATACGTATATTTTTTCGTAGTTTTATAGGAATCGTAATTATAGGGACCGTAATTATAGGGGGGTCGACTGTAT